CACTCTCAGAAGGGAAATCATTCAGTATTTAATGATAAAATATGCATTAGTGTTGAGCTTTTGATACCTGCTTTAAGTTAGCTCTTTTTAAAGCTGCATACAGTGTACATTTGGGGCTGACGGGAAAGGAAAGCAAAAGTGTTTTTCAAACTTAACGCTCAAATGAAATGTTCATATATTTGGCTGAATTCTGAATTTTCCCCAGTTTTTCCCATAAGCATCCTGTTCTCCTACATCCAGCAAGAAATGAGGCCGAGAGGTACCTCCCAACATGTCCATATTGTTACCTAACACGTCTCCCCCAAGTGTCTGAAAAGATTTCCTCACATTCCAGTGAAACAATGATCAACACAAAGCAGGGGGGGTCCTCGCCGTCTCATATCTTCCTTCATATTGTTCCCCCTCCCCGAAAAAAGGATTCAAAACCCAGGAAAACACTTTTAGGCACAATTGGGGTTAGAATAAAATAAAATGGAAACAAGCCATTCAGGGATTCTGTTTAAAAGAAATTTTATGGTCAATCATTACAACACTGCTTGTTGAACTCTTTTCTGGGTTGTCTTTATTGCCTGTAAAAATAAGGAAAAGCCACACAAGATTCATTTGTGGTTGTGCATGTCTAAACAGATATGTGTGGAAAATCCCTCATATTCATGTGTGTTAACCTGTGAACAAAAGATACCCTTACAGTTTTAATTTACTTGGGGCATCGATTAGGGGGGTTGATGGAATGTATTGCAAACATTCATTACTCATTGTTGCCCTTTACCTAGTGCTCAAAGATTGAAATCCATATTTCAAACTTTTGTGGAGTAATCCTGAAATAAAGGAAGTAGATTTAGTAAGGCCTTGCTTTCCATTTTGTGAATTATTCCTTAGTAAAATGCCGTCAGAAGTGGTGGACTGATGGGCTATCGTGTTTTAAAGGGAGGAAATTCATTCAGTTTCATCTAAAAACATACACCATGCTTCTTTGGTGGCGGCGTTCATGTAGTGGAATGTCCCTGAGCAGCTAGAGACATGTCTTTTGGGACGGAATTATACCATCCTGGCCTGGAAACTTTGTTGACTCCTCGGTGTTTGGCACCTGGACGTCTGATGTGATAGGCCCTAGTGCCTTGTTATGTAACAATAACAACAATAATAACAATACCCGACTTGAAATATACACAACCCGTGGATGCAAAATGATATCTAGTTTATTCAACGTTCCTTCATTCATACAAAGCCCGGGTTCGGGCGGCCTGTTCTCGAGAGTATGTTCACGAGCAGCTCAAATTTTTCCCCTCCCTTCTGGCCCTTTTATACTAGTTGCTCTTGTGTATTACATTAGATTTAACACAAAAAAGAAGTCAACTCACATTAGACATTAATCAGTTACATGGTAAAGAAAAAAGGCCCCATTTAGTATGGGATTTAGCATAATTTCCGAGAGAGGTAAATATAAATCTAAGGCATAATAATCTTTTTAAATCGTCTTTAAATAGTGAAAATGATAGTTAATCCCCGTGCATTTTCAATGGAATTAAATATGAAAGCGGCAAAGCAAAAGAATTCAATTGAGTACATTCCTCGAGTTATTAGAAATTTGTTATTTAAAAGTATATCAACGTTCAGGGTATCTTAAAGCCAATCACTGATCTGATTCTAAAAAGAAGTGAAAACCTCACAAAAGAGATGCAGTGAGGTTTCACTCTTAGGTTGACAAAAAAAATGGGTTCTTTTCTTAGTTATTACCTCTTTTGCCAATTTTATACAAATAAGAGCCAACCAAGATTCTGTAAGTCTATATTGAAACCATTGCAATTTAATACCACATCTTAAAGTTAGAAAGGGCATAACTCCAACCATTCATTGAAAGGAAGATTACATGCCAGCTTCATTCCCCATCAATAAACCTATTTTAGGGGTAAGAATATGATACAGACGAGTAGAGCCCTTTTATCCATCAAAAGTAACTGCAAATTAAAAGTAATTCGGAAAAAACGTATATTAAAGTTTACCCATCACAATAAGCTCCAAAGAGATTTCCCGACTGTTAATATCTCTCCCGTATCAAAGTCATCTAAGCTTAAGAAGTGAACATCACTGTTGAGAAAGTTACTCACAAAACTCTTTTTTTTAGCCCAGTGTCTATAAAAAAATACATTTTTTGCCAATCGCAATTCTATGGTACCACAAAACATTTTCAAGCACATGCTGCCCTGAACACTGAATAAAATGACTCCAAGCTTTAAAAACGTCAATCCAAACATGATTGGGATACTATACCTGCTGAAGAAAAGAATTGATGCTAGAATGACCACCTTCAATTAAACAGTACATTCTGAATAATCTTACAAAACAAAGAAACCCAGGTAGAAGTGCTATTCAACAAACGGATCCGCATATAAACTTATCATCTAAACACAGCCATGTTAATAATCTTGAATCACCTGATTCCTAACAACTCCCAAGCACCCCCTTTATATAAATTTACACAGCATACTATTAAATTCTTAATATCGGGGGTGGGTCTGGAAGAACCAAAATCTAAAAGTAAGTTTAGATAAGAGATTTAACAATTGTGACTCGACCAAGAACTTTAATCGATTAAAGTAACAGTGGCTTCGAACACTCTTATAATAGTCATGGTATCGAGATTGACACTAAAATCAATGCCCAGGGCTCTAAAATATCCTTTGGGCGAACCTAATGAATAAAGAAAGTTTTGACACCCTTATTACTACCAATCCACACAGCAATTAGTTTTGTTCATTCCGAGACCAGAAATATTGACAAAATTACCAAACATCTTAAAGCTCTCTCAAGGGACTCTGCCATCAAAGTAGAATATTACGTCATCTGCGTACTGAGATATCCTATACTTTGTATCCTGTACTGAAATGTCCTTATGACTGTCTTTACGAACATACATAATAATACCTATAATTTCGGCACACGAAAGAAACAAGAGGTCTCAAACCCATCTCTATAACGACAACCCTTCTATATCTTAAACCATTCTGATAAAAACTTGTTTACTAACACCGAGGTGGCCGCACCACTGTAAAAAAAACTATGAACCATTCCTGAATAGACGGTTCAAAACTGATAAATTCGTGTGAGACTGAATCAAACGCCTTCTTGGAATCAATTAATAGAAACACACCCGGACCATTATTGTTCCAATATCCGGCTCCCATTCTCCCTTTCGACTGACATAAATCACGCTGTCGGTATCGTAATACAGAACCCTATGTTCGAGCTTGTCCAACAGTTTGTACAACTTAAATAAGACAAGCTTGACACGCCATGTAGGCGGCCAGGATCACGTTGGTCCTCCCTGATGGTTCCACAAAGTCCTCTGTGTGTTGCCACTGCACCTCCACCATCTCTTCGTTGACAAAGTTAGTGCTCTGAACCTCGATGTCATCACGCATCACCATGTCGAGGTATTCAGTCGGGTCCTTCAAGTACGAATTCTTTGCCATGTTGGGTCGTTGTCCAAACTTCCCCAGAAACTGAAGAGAAAAGGAAAGAATGTAACCATTTGTGTTAACATGATTTCAAACAAAACTAGAGAAAAGTGTTTGTAAACAAGTACAAACACAGAGCTGGTTCGGGACTATTTTACCAACAAGATAAATATTGTTGATCAAAGCTCTCAAACTAACCCAATGCTGGCTTGAAAACGTGTACAAAGTCAAGGGGCTGAAATAAATATTGAAAAAACAAGAGTAAATCACATGACGACGTCATCATGACATTTATTTACATAATTTCTGTATCAAGATCTGTGTTGGCTGTCACTTTGAAAACGATCAAATATCAAAAAGGGTTCAGAA